GCCTCTAGCTCCAGTGGGCCAGAAACAGGAGGCAGAGCTGGACCCCAAGGTCAAGGGGTTTTTACCCAACCCCTAGAGCCTGGCAGTTTGAACTTGGACTTAACGCCTCCAGATTGTAAGAATAAACTCCTGTTTGTTAAGGATATCCCATTTGTGGTATATTTCTCATCAGAGTGGCACTAGTTAACCAGAACACCATTCTTGCTTCCAAGGAACATTCCAGCTGCATTTCTCCCAGGACAGATCCATTAGTTCTTTTGGTAGTCCATGGTACTCTCAGTATTATTTTTCAATACCAAAACTCAAAAGTGTCTGCTCTTCTTGGATCTCCCTTATTCATTGTCCAGCTTTCATACACATAAGAGATGTTTGAAAGCACTATAGCTTGGATTAGGTGCACCCTAGTCTTCAAAGAGACATCTTTTCAGCACTCTAAAGAGGTCTGTTTTAGCAGATTTGCCCAGTGGAATATGTCATCTGATTTCTTGACTGCTGCTTCCATTTCTCAATTTCACTGGTGGGCTATGAAGAGTTCTCTCCTTAGTCTCCAGGCCACCTTATGTGAGCCTCTATAACAACATTTTCCAATGGACACAACATGAAATACATATAGAATTTTAAATATTCGAGCAGTTACATTTTTAGAAAGAGAGAAACTTTTGTAATTAGGTCCCATTGAGTCATTTTCAAGTCATAACAACCATACTTACAAAAGAACAAAACACTATTGGTCCTGGGCCGTACTCAAAACCATTGCTATACTTGAGCATATTGTTGCAGCCACTGTGTTACACACCTCATTGAGGGTCTTCCTCTCTTACATTGACCCTCTACTTTACTAAGCATGGTATCTTGATCCTTTCTGACAATGTAACCAAATTACAAGAGATGAAGTCTGGCCATTTTCCATTCCAAGGAGCATTCCTGCTGTACTTCTTCCAACAAATATATGTTCTTTTATCTGCTTGTTGTTGTTATGTGCTGTCGAGTTGGCTCCGACTCATAGCCACCTCTCTTTGGGTTACCAAAGCAGTATCACTACGGAAGTAGATTGCCCAATGTTCATTCCTTCCAAGGAGTGGCTGGGGGGTTTAAACCACCAGCCTTCTGGTTAGCAGTCAAGTGCCTTAGGCACTATGCTACCAGATCTCCTAGTCCATGATAAATTCATATTCTTCACTAACAACATGATTAAGGTGCAGCAATTCTTTTGGAGTGTTACTTATTCATTGTACAGTTTTTACACACATACTAGGAAATTGAAAAATGTCAAGGCTTGTGCCAGTCATACCTTAATCTTCAAAGAGATCTTTGGTCTTTAACACTTTAAAAAGGTCTTTTGCAGCAGATTTGCCAAATGAAATGCATCCTTACATTTCTTGACTGCTGCTTCCATGGGTGTTGATGGTGGATCCCAGTAAGATGAAATCCTTGGCAATTTGAAACTTTTCTTCATTTATCATGATGTTACTTATCGGTTCAGTTGGGACGATTTTTGTTTTCTTTATGTTGTGGTATAAGCCATCCAGAAGAGTTCAGTCTTTGATATTCATCAGTAAAACCTTCAGGTCTTCTTCAGTTTCAGCAAGCAAGGTTGTGTCACCTGCATATCACAGGTGGTTTTTGAGTCTCCCTCATTCTGATGCCACATTCTTTTCATGTAGTCTAGTTTCTTGGACTATTTGCTCAGCACACAGATTGAATACGTTAGATAAAAGCACACAAGCCTGATGCACACGTTCCCTGATTTAAAACCATGCAGTAACCCTTGTTCTATCAGAACCACTGTCTCTTTGTGTTTCTATAGGTTCCTCGTGAGCACATCTAAGTGTTATATAATTGCCATTCTTCTCAATGCTACTCTTAAATTGATGATTTGTTATGATCCACATAGTCAAAAGCCATTGCAGAGTTAAAAAAAAAAAAAAAAAAAAAACATTTAAATATCTTTCTGGTAGTATTGCTTTTTACCTATATCCATCTGACATCAGAAATGATTTACCTCATTGCCACCTCTAATTTATGACAGTTCTCTGTCTATAGGCTGCAGCAAGAAGATTTGAAATATCTTCAGCAAAAATTTTACCTGCATGTGAAATTATGTCTCCTGCCGTCCAAAGAGAGGCTTTTAAGGTCTTGGGTCTTATTGTTTACTAACTGGGAATAGTGGCACCGCTTTTTGTGCCCAAAACTCAATAAACTTTCTCTACCCAATTGCACTTACTGTTATTCTTTCTAGCTGTTCTTTGCAACTGGTATCTTTTATTTTCAGATCTCATTTCAACTCTTACAACTTAAAATACCTTCCTGACTTAGCCCTCTAATTCTTCAAATTTTAGTCTTGCCTTAAAGCTTTATTATTCCTTCCATAGCAATCATTTCTCTCTGAATTTATCTTAATTAGCTTTTGCTTTTTTTGTTTTTTTAAACCTCTACTTCTGAAATGTAAACTCTCTGATAGCAGTTACCATGTATATAATTTTTTTTTTCCCTACAGTGCCCAAGTGTCTATGAAGGGTCCTATTCAAAATATCAAAATTGATTTGTTAAAAGAGAGAATTAAGTCAATATTTTCAAAGTATGTCAACAAATACATATACTTTTTTTTATATCAGATTCAGATACTATGATGAATACATCTCTACTCACTTATTCTCTCCTTGGGTTTTTGCTCCTCATGCTCCACAACTAAGTCTGATTCTGTTTTCTCAGTCATCCTGGACTATCTCTTCATTTCCATCACTGTTCAAAATACGTTGACCATAATGTCCTCCAAATTCATCCATGTTGTGAGATGATTTGTGTGTTCTTCATTATTCTTTAATGTTGCATAGTATTCCATTGTGAGAATGTACCATAGTTTGCTTCTCCAATTATCTGTTGCTAGGCATTTAGGTGGTTTCCATTTCTTTGCTATAGTGAACTGTGCTGTAATGAACATGGGTGTTCACATGTCAGTTTGTGTCCTTCTCTCATATCTTTAAGATATATTCCTAGTAATGGGATTGCTGCATCAAATGGTATTTCTATTTCCAGTTTACATAAGTCAGTCACAGAAGGACAAATGTTGTTAGAGCCCGTTATTGTAAAAAGTCAAGGAAAGGTTTACTTAGGAAAGGAAATTCATTTTGTTGGTTACTGGAGTTGGGATGGGAGGGAAGGGTAAATTGTGGACTAGTTGGGAATCACATGTTGATTTGGGTGAGGGGAGGGATGGTATGGAAAGATTCTGTGACCAGCATGATGACATTGGGCAAAGGAAGGAAGCTGAAATGTGCACACAAGATATAGACAACAGAGACAAATACTAGTACATGCACAATACTACATTACCACCAACACCAAATACCAGTCTACAGATAAATGCATAGACAGGTGTGAATATCATATGAGGATAGGTGAACATTAATATACTCCAGACCAAGGATAGTATGGCTGAAGAAAGTCTTACATATGCACTTGTGCTACAAAATTAGCCGTATATGTGACAGAAGCAGCAGAAGACAGAGTTGGAGAAACTTCTCAGAGACAACCAAACTCCTTGACAGAGTGGATCAGCAGACCTGCACTTTGGACCATAGTCTCAAAAGACATCATACTCAATTGGCACAACATAGTGCACAAAAGTTTTGTTCTACAATCTTCTTTAGTGAGTAACAGTGGATTCTTCGCAGCTTTCGAGCAGTCATCTTATATGAAACTATCAGTCTCCTCTTATCTAAATCAAAGAAGAGTGAAGAAAATGAAAGGCATCTGGAAATAATTAGTTCAAGGATGAGAGGGACCACAAGGAGCTCAGTCTTCATGACCCCAGGACCAGAAGAACTAGATGGTGCTCAGCTACCAATCCAACCACTCAGAAAGGAATCAAAACTGGAGATCCAAGATAGAGTGGAAAAAAATTCAAAAACACAAAAATGACAAGATTGATTGATCAGATAGAGACTGGTGCACTCCCTGAGACTAGGATCATGGGTTACCCTTCAGGTATAGAAATTGACCCACTTCAACAGATTGGCTCTCAGACCAACAGTAGAAAAATGTACATGCAGAACACCTTCCCCAGGACAATGCACTCACCTGCTATAGAGAGATGCACCCCTTAGAGCAATCAGCCATGAGACACCACCAGGGCAGCATTCACATAGATAAAAACCTGGACTGACAGGAATGCATAGTCAAGAAGGACACAAGGGGTGAGCAATGTCGGGAATAAGAGGGGAGGAAAGTTTTTTCAAGATCGAGGGTGGGAATCGAGGTATGAAATCAAATGTATGTGAACTCTTGTATATAAAACAAATTTGCTTTGTAAATTTGCACCCAAAGTACAATATATATATATATTTTAATACACTGACCACAATTCCTCTTTTGGCTTTTTGTAATAACCTCTTGAGTAGTTGTCTTTATGCTCTAGCTCCATTAAAAACCTCACTGCCTTTTACACAACACAGTTCTGATATACCGTGTGATGTGTCCTTAGATGTATGTGTTCTTAAAAATCTGAGATATTGGAAATTAGGGGTGCAGACATTTTTTAAGATGCACGTATAAGAAGAATTATATATATCCATGAATAACTCAAGATACAGCCAACATATTGTTAGCAAAACCATAAAGAGAAGCCATAACATCTCAAGGAAGGACAAATTCACAAGCAAACACAAAGAATTGCTCAAGATAAAGAAGCATTTTTATTGACAATAACTGATTTCCACACTTATATGGGAAAAAGACCATTGTAACAGAAGATTGGAGGGTAAGGGAGTGAAGGGTAATATTTGGAAAACTGACAATATCATGGAGTCACCATTCACAAAAATGCCATTCTAAGAAGGAGGTTCTAGGAGATCATAGCCTTTATCAATCATGTAATTTCTTGAATCAGAGTTGTTCTGTGAAGTGTCATTTCAGAAGTAAATGGTGCCTGGAGAGTAATGTTCTACCAGCAAAAAGAATAGCATCTTCTGTAGCAAAATGGCCGGTAGCCATAGCAGCCAGAACCATAGCCACAGCCATAGCGGGAGCCATAGCCACAGCCATAGCCAGATCCATAGCCACAGCCATAGCCAGAACCATAGCCACAGCCATAGTGGGAGCCATAGCCACAGCCATAGCCAGATCCATAGCCACAGCCATAGCCAGAACCATAGCCACAGCCATAACCAGATCCATATCCACAGCCATAGCCAGAACCATAGCCACAGCCATAGCCACAGCCACCGTAGTAGTTGCAACACATGGTGTCAAGAGGTGAAGTTTCAATTGAGGTATAGGAAGGTGGTTTTGATGTCTGAATGCCATCTACTATTCCTGGACCTTTATATACTGCCAGAAAGTGGGTGGGGCCCAATTAACACATACTAGGTAACCTCATTACAACAGCAATTTTCATTTTTTAAAAACTCATCATGTGAAGGTCAATAATATATTCACGAGGATAGTACAGGGTCTGACACCAGGCAATGAAGACAGCTATAAGAAGCAGATGTACCCTACAGGTTGCACAAGTTTTTCTTTGGAATTTGTTCAATACCTAACTTAGATTTTTCTCCTCAGAGGCATTAACTCTCCTCCCCTTCCAGCTACACATACTTGGGCACTGGGAGATAGACCAGCATCTCATATCATCTGATATCAACAGCAAAACACCTGGCTTAGAGGCAAATAGTAAGGACATATGGTGAGACACTCTCAGCTTATACCTGTAAGAATGTATATAAAGTCCATGTAATGGCAGAAATGGAGACAAGTGAGGCCAAGAAGATGTGATATGGTTCCAAAGGAGAATCTCAACAACTATACCAAAGTAAACACAACCATGATTTTGTCCAAACTAATATAATCTACTCCATCTAGGGTCCATAGAATATACATTTTTGATATGTTACACACGTTTTGAAATAATTTTTCTGCTTGCCTCACCAAAGATTCACCTGCTAGTATCCCAATGATCCTCTGAAAATTAACTCACACTATATCTCCCATTAAATGCATCCCTGGGCATTCACAACATACATTAAACATAATTTCTCTGCTCTTCCATAGATCCCTGTGCATAATTGTAATTTGGTACAGAGCACATACATATTACATTATTTTATTTTATTTCTCTGCTTCCTTCAATTGCATATTTTTTTAAAACCAATAACTTTTATTTTCTGAAGAAATAATGAAAAAGGCACTAATCAACTGTTGGAAGAGAGGCTATAAGACTTTTTCAAACTGCACAAGTGATATTTTTTATACTTGGGCAATGTTCTATAAAAAATAATAAACACAATAATAATCATGAACAACATTCATACACTTGGGCATTTGACTGCTAACCAGAAGGATGGCAGTTTAAAGCCAACAATGACTCCTTAAAAGGAAGAATAATGGATCATCTACTTCTGTAGAAATACCACCTCAGAAACCCAAGGAGCGGTCACTATGAGTCAAATTGACTCGACTGCAGTGACTTTGTTTGTTTGTTTTTTCTTTTTTGGTTTCCTTTATATTTATTGCTCCATGTAAATTTACCTATAACAATGTAAAGTCAGAATTTGTGGTATTTATTAATATATACACATTACAGTCAAGAAAACAGAGATCAGCTGTAGTTAAGTAGCTTGCTCAAGGACTGTCACATGTTTAGTAACATAGTTGAAGTGGTTAAACTGCTACTATAATATAAAAGAGTACTTCCTGTTAATAATGTTTTATTTTCATATTTCAAATGAAATGTATCTCTTTCACCTGACTAAAATTGTCAATATTTTGCAGCTTCTGCCTTATACTTCCATCATCTATATTTTCTTTCAATGTGACCATCATAGTCCTAACCAACTCATGGTGTAAATATTCAGCAGCAAACTTTAGCCATCTCTCAAATATGTTCTGTCACTCTCTTTAAGGACCTCATAGTGTTATAATAACTTCTCCTGTCATGCCACTGAATTCTCTATCCTTGCAGAGCCCATTCTTTGTCACAAATGAAACTAACTGTTATAGGTATCTTGAAGGATAGCCTATATTGGAAAAAAAAGACCTATGATCAACAACTTTCATCTTAAAGTAAAATCTCACATTCTAGGCCTGCTTTAACTGTGATTGTCTAATTTTTACAATTTCAATTGCAAGAGCCACTCCACAGGAGAATGATGAGATAGTCTTCTTCCACAAATATTTACAGCCTTGGAAACCCCACGAGGATCACTATGAGTTGGAATCAACTTGATCACAGTGAGTTTGGTTTATTTTTGGTAACTTTTACAATACTTTTTATGAAAATACATTCAATATGACCTTTATTCTTCAAACTCTATGGTGCTTCCCAGATTTCACATTTTATCTGCCTTCTCCTCAGAACAGTTTAACAGATAATATTTTTCTTATCCATTTCCATTGATTACTTTTCTAGACAATGACTGAATGGTACAATTTAATTTTAAAAGAGCAATTGAGGACTACATTATGCAAGAACTGTGTGTGCCATTACATAAAATATTGGAAAAATAACATGTGATCTAGATTCCACGGGTAAATTCAAGTGCTTTAGAAACTCTCCAGTGATACTGAATCAGTATTTCCTTTGGAGTAGTCTTCTTTCTTTCATCACACATTCTATCAAAGAATGGAGTTTATTCTCTTTTTCCTTTTCCTTACCCATTGACTCCTGAATTTACTGTGACCAATGTCACACTCACTATCAAAATATCTGTTACTACATAAGAAACCATAGCTCTGCCAACTAAAGTGTTACTAATTAAGTAATTCATATGTGAGAATGATAAATAGAAAAGCAGAACCAAATCATCAGAAGAGAAATTACTCTATTAATATTTACTTATTTTGACTAAATATACAATGACAAACTTTTCAGTGTACTTGCTATGACTGTATATTTTAGAGTTCATACTATGGGGTATATTAGACCACATTTCACTGCTATTCAAATGGTTTTCACTGGCCAATTCTTTGACAAGAGGCTAGAAGCTCCACCGAAACCTATCCACTATGAGTAACCTTGATGGTATTTGAAATACTGGTGGCAAAGCCTCCAGTATCATAGCAACAACTAAGCCACCAAAGTGTCACAAACTGAGATGATTATTTATGTTCTACTGTCAATGCAAAAGTATTCAATCGTGTGGATCATAACAAATTATGGATAACATTCAGAAGAATGGGAATTCCAGAACACTTATTGTGCTCATGAGGAACCTATATACAGACCAGGAAGCTGTCATTCAAAGGGATACTGCATGGTTTAAAAATCAGGAAAGTTGGCATCAGGGTTGTATCCTTTCACCATACTTATACAGTGTCTGTATGCTGAACAAATGATCTGGGAAGCTGGACTATATGAAGAAGAATGCAGCATCAGAATTGGAGGAAGACTCATTAACAACCTGTGATATGCAAAAGGCACAACTTTGCTTGCTGAAAGTGAAGATTACTTGAAGCACTTATTGATGGTGATTGAAGACTACAGTCTGCTGTATGGATTATACCTCAACATAGAGAAAACTAAAATCCTCAAAACTGGACCAATAAGCAACATCACGATGAATGGAGAAAAAACTGACATTGGCAAAGATTTCATGTTATTTTGATAAACAAACAACAGAAAAAGAACAGTCAAGAAATCAAATGCTGTATTGTCCTGGACAAATATGCTGCAAAAAAACCTCTTTAAAGTGCAGAAGAGCAAAGATGTCTCTTTGAACACTAAGGTGTGCCTAAACTAACCCATGGTATTTTAAATCACCTCTTACGGAAGTGAAAGCTGGATGATGAATAGGGAAGACTAAAAAAGAGTTGATGCTTTTGAGATGTGGTGTTAGAGAAGAATACTGAAAGTACCATGAATGGCCAGAAAAATGAACAAATCTATCCTGGAATAAGTGCAGCTGGAATGCTCCTGGGAAGCGAGAATGGCCAGACTTCATTTCAGCTTCTTTGGTCATGTTGTCAGAAGGGACTATTCCCCAGAGAAAGATATCATGCTTGTTAAAATAGAGGGTTAGCAATAAAGGGGAACACCCTCAAGGAGATGGATTGACACAGTGGCTGCAACAATGGGCTCAGGTATAGCAAATACAGTGAGGATGACTCAGGATTGGGGAGTGTTTCGCTCTGTTGTACACAGGGTCACTATGTGTCAGAGCCACTTTGATGGCAGGTTACAACAACAAGATTATGGCATAGATGTGTCAGGAATGTAGGAAATGAATAGCTTATGAGTGTGCCTATATTTGAGATACAAGAAATTGAGATTTTTGATTAAATTTCTAGGATGTCAAATATTGTCATTGTTAGTCACCAAGACATAATTAGTTGAAACATATGACATTTTTATATGCTGAAAATAGTTAAATATCAACAATTTCCTAATGAGCAAGTTAATAATAAACATAAAAGTAGAAAATGTACAGCATTCTCACAGTGGGAAGGCTTGGCATTCTCTATTTTATTTGATATCTGCAACAATCTCTAGCTGGCACTATACAAGACATTTTATCATTGTGTCCTCAGGGCTCACTGCATTACATGATGTGACAGTGGTCACCCTGCTAGTAAGTGATGAAGCCAATATTAGTTCTCACAAATTTTGGCTCTGAAACCTGGGCTTTTAATTACTGTCTATAAAATTTTAGTTCTGGAAGTGTGAGACTTGGGATTGTCCCCAAGAAAATGGTATCTTGCACCAAGGAAGCACAGTTGAAGACAATATTTCATTGTATCCAGAACCTGGGTATCACTTAAAATGGGCTTTAAATATTTCTGGGTTTATTATAGACTTTCCTCTTCTAGTTCTATGTATTTTCATTTTTCTTGTCTTCTTCAGTCTCATAAATAACACACACCAATGGTACAATTTTTAAGAAAGTTAACTTCTCTATGACAGGACAGTATGGGCAATGTTGTGCTTTTAAATGATTAAGTACCTCCATGGAGAGGAAGACTCTGATCTGCAGCATTTGCTCACTTTTATGGTGTAAATATGAAGCAATAGCTATCCAACGGTAGAATGCTTCCTTCCATGTGGTATGACCCAAGTTTTGTAAAACTTATATGTTGCAGTTATGCCAGTTACAGTTCAGATGAAACCAGGAAGAAGATCTTGGCAATATATTTGTGAAAAATGGCCAGTGACTCCTTATTGAATTACTCATAGGATCACCCTGCATTGGGGCTAACTAACAAGAGCAATTTATGCATATACATCACATGGCCTGTTTCATGTTACTAAAT